TAACATGAAACTAGACATTTTTTTTCTATCTGAATTGTTCTGGAATTACTGGTCAATAAAAATTACCATGATATATGTATCACAGGAAGCAGTGTTGTCTGCTTCTCCATGCCATATACAGTACAAGGAGATATATGGTATTAAAATAATTCGGTATGATTTTGAGGGCTACATATCTGTGCTTATACTGATTATTAGAGGAAATTATTTGTCCCAACACTGGATAACTGTGTTTCATCAAAAGTTGAAGTCAAGAACCTGCAGGAACTAGAGTTGAGCCCTTTCACTTCCAAACATTTTGGTGAACTGATTCTTCTGATGAGACTGGTTATAAAATCCAAGTCTCACTAAATGAAATATCACCTCATTTAATCTGACTTGAACGTGGGACACAGATACTTCCATTATAATTAGTTAAAAAAAAAAGATGCAGCAGCAGGGTGGAGAATAATTAAAAGCATCACGGACAAGCTATACAGTTACTCAAGTTAGTTCAGGAGGCTAAAACTACTTTGGAGAACCATATTTATAATTCCTTATACCTTTTTATTTTAATTCTGTACAAAATCTTAACTTGATACTCTACTGACACACTCAATTTCATGATTCAACACTGATGCCAAGTCTCAATTTGTCTTAAAAAGTACTGCATTAAAGGTCTACCTCTCTTCTTCCCCTCAAAAGCAACTGTAAAAAGTTTACTTGATTTCTATGCAAGATCAGCCTATAAATAGGCCCCTGATCATCAGCCTGTATTTGGGCTTTGACACAATTTTCAGTTGATCCTTGAAAAAGACATTGCCCAATATTTAAGGAAAAGACTGTCAACCTATAATCAGAGCAATACAAGAACATAAAAAAATATGTAACTGTTTTTGATCTCTGGAAAGCCCAAGATCCATTCAAAAAGTTCCCAAGTTTGAAGCATGAAATAAGATATTTTCCAGTTCTCAGGTCTCTCACACAGCACTGATTTTATACTTTACATATCTAGATCAGTATTGCGTATATGTATTATACTGAAATATAATTCTTATATATACTGATATGTATAATGTATAAAATTAGTACTGTGAGAGAACTGAGAACTAGAAAACATCTTACTTCATCCTCCAAACTTGGGAATTTATGAGAGTGTTGTATACAGGTGACAAAGATAAAACCGAATGCAAGATTAATTTTGGGGCACACTGGGCATGTCTATATATGACACTTAATGCTCAGTAGCCTAATACTACTGCACATTAGTGTGCACAGCAAAAACTGTGCTAATATACACATTAAGCATCACACAAAAAAGCTTGTGATCATGCTAATGCACAGTATAGCAGCCTACTGTGTATTTATTTGGTACTTGATTATACAAGTACTACATTTAATGCACAGTAGACACTGCACATTAATGAACATGTAGACATGCCCAATGTGTATCGCTTAGATATTTCCTCAACTTGGATTTACTACTGTGGAATTTGGTCTCTAATTACAGGTACTGTTAAGCTATGCTCAGTGTTGTTATTTTTATGTTTGCCTGAATCATTGGTTTTGGTATTTCTGTATTTTTATAAATTGACTAATGATGGGTAGTGAGTTTATTTCTGACACTCATTTAGTAAGCTTCAGCTCCAGACAATAGCTATTCTCACATGAGAGAAACCGTGGCTTTCAGAAACAAAGCCAATTTCTAGAAGATACCCCTATAATTGGTGTGCATAACTTAGCCTCAAACAATGGCTGGACAATACCTAAAGTACATTTGAAAAGCATCTACCTCCCTCTTTAGAATAAGGAAGAGTGGAAAAATATGGTCTGGAGAAAGAAAGACTATGCAAGGGTATATATATTACTATCCTCCTTTAATAAAATATTGAATGAGGAAAGACACTTATTTTGATAAACAGGAGCCTGACTGTAGAAAGGAAGTAATCTGGATAATGCACATGTTCCCTGAAAACTGAACAGAAAAATAAAGAAGAGTAGAGAATGTTAAGGTATTTAAGAAATGTTTCTTGTGGGAAAACTTTGTTTAGAGCACCCCTCTTCCTATGGGATAGCTGGGAAGAGCTGGGATAATCTGATGAGCTGATTGTAGTGCTGGCCAAGGAAAACATTTTGAAGGAATCTTGTGGATGTCAGTGCTATCTCAGAAGTTGCTTCTAGTTAGAGAAAGAGGGTGAGGTATTTTCCTATTTGTTTTGCATTCTGTTCTAATGCAGTATTTTCTCATATACAACATGTACATTTTTCCCCAAAAACCACCTGCTGGAAATTGGTCTGTGCATTATATGAGAGAAATGTGGTAGGAGAGCAGGTTCTGCCTTACCCAGCAAAAATGAAAGCAAAATCTACAGCAGTGGGTGGGGAACAGAAAAATAGGCAGGTTATGCTCTCCAACTGCTGATACTTAGTTACTTCATACAAGGAAAGATCTTTTCTCTTCATTCTGCCTTTCAAAAACGAGGATGAAACTTTAGTGTTCAAGTATCAGGATTTGGTGAAACAATATTTGGGAAAGGAGTCTTTAAAACAAACTGCCAAGGGCCACAAAAATATGGGTACTAGTGATTTAATAGGTTCACTCTCCTTCAAATGCAGAGTATTGATCTAATGCCTAATCAGAGGGTCTGTAGACACTGCTTTGCTGAGATTAAGATGCCAAAGTCACAGGGTTTTAGGTTCTGAATAATCATCACAGTTGTCCCAAGAATGAGACTTCTGTCTCAGAAATATATATGTGTATACATCCACTGTCCTGCTTCAAGTCCCTGAGACATGCCTCATAAAACGTACTAATATATTTTTCCTGGGACATCCTGTGGTATGTATATTAGGAGTGTGTGAAATGGGCCGTATTCAATTCGGATTTGGCCCAAATCGGAGACAGCAATTCAATTTGTTGATTTGGATCACTGGCCCTGATTTGATTTGGCCGAATCCAAATCTGAAGATTCAATGCTGATTTGGAGAATCGGCAATTCAGCCATAGATACAGCTTTAAACGTTTTTTCTACATACCTCAGGCGTGGCTCATGAATGCTGCAACAGTGGGGCAAATGGAGCATCCCACAGGAGCACAGGGGGGCCACTGTGTGCTCGTCAGTAAACCCAGAAGTGGACCAGAAGTACTTCCGGTCCACTTCCAGGTCCACCAGGAAGCGTGCTGGGGGTGGGGCCCATACCCTCTGGCTCGGCAATCAACCATGGGGGGACCCCAGGTGTCCCCCAAGACCCAGTAGGTACTAGTTGCCGAGCCGGAGAGCACAGGGGGGCCTCCGAGCGTGCTTCCCAGCAGACCTGGAAGTGGACTAGAAGTGGTTCTGGTCCACTTCTGGGTCTGCCGCCGAGCACGCTGGGAAGCCCCCCGCGCTCCTGTGGGACGCTCCATCTGCCCCAGCATCGCAGCAGTGATAAGCCATCTGGTACCTTGAGTTACGCAGTAAAAACATTTAAAGCTGTGTCTATGTCTGAATCGCTGAATCTCTCTGAATAGTTTCTGTGGGTTCTAATTTGATTCAGAAGGATTAAAGGTCTCCTGATTCGATTTGGATTCAGAGATTCAGCCACCAAATCAGGCCAAATCTCCGCCAAATCAAATCAGGGACCAAAGCTTCACACAGCCCTCGTATGTATATCTATAGCAACAGACAGAGAGACACCACAGGATATACCAAGAAAAAAAATATTAGTACATTTTATGAGGCATATCTAAGGGACTAAGGTCCCTTCCAACCTTAAGGCTGTAAATTAATGTTGCATTTGATCCAGGACTGATTTATATACACATCACCCTTTTAAGCTACATTACTGCTCCTTTGCAAGTAGGTAATCAGTGAGAGGATGCACCCTGACAGAGTTGGCCCTGCAATGAGCTGCAATAACGAGACAGAGATAGAGATTTTTGCTTAAATTTATATTATGGTTCTATGTTTCTTATGTTGTTTTTGGGAGCATGGCTTTTAGCCAGAATCCTTAATAATAAATTAACTAGATATATGGTTATTGCAGCTCATTCCAGGGCCAACCCTGTCAGGGTGCATCCTCTCACTGACTACCTACTGACAGAGCAGAAGTAATGCCGCTTAAAAGTGTGATGTGTATATAAATCAATCCTGGATCAGATGCAATATTAATTTACAGCCTGAGGGCTGGAAGGGACCTTACTGGTAACTAGTCCAAATTCCTGCACAGATGGAAGATTTGCTGTTCCTAAACCATCCCAAATTAATGTTTATCCCCCCTGTTTTTGAAAATTTCCAATGAAGAAGATTCTGTAACTTCTTAAGGCAGCTTGTTTCATTGTCCTATGATTCTTACAATTATGAAGTTTTTTTCCTGGGATTACATTAAATCTCTTTTGCTGTAGTTTAAACCCACTGCCATGTATCCTGCATTCTGGGACAAGAGAGAACCATCTTTTCTACAGAAGACCAAAACTGTATGTACCACATCTTAGTACTACAGGTGGGGTGGTACTATCAGTTCCCGAGCCTTGACTACAATGCTTCTGCCGATGTAAATTTCGTTTGCTTTTTTTGCAACAGCATCATATCACACTGGTGATCTCTACTGAATTTGTGATCAACTATAACCTAGATCTTTGTGGCAGTTTGAATGCCAAGTGCTAATACCATGTTAGGAACTCCCTATGAAAATGTATCACCTTATATTTGTCCTTATTGAAACCAATCCTCTGTGATCATTAAACTTTTCTAGTCTTGTAAAAATGCCAGAGTCTGCAGCAGTCAGCTTCCATTGTAGCTAGTAAGACTCTCTCCATGTAAAGGGCCCTTGTAGTCTTGATATCCCTCACTTCCTGTACTTAGCTGCTGTTAAGTACTGTTGTGTATTAACAGCTGGCACATACTATCTAAAATGTGGCTGTATTTCAGTGGTGACTTTCATGGTTACTATCTATGTGCTAAGTGCTTTCAGAATATTTGGGTTGATGCTGGGCAAATACAACTTATTCTTTCAAAGTTCCATATTAAAACTGTTCTTACTTAGTCCAGCAAATTTTGTCTATGAACTCTTGCATAGTCATTTTGTCCCATTCTTCTGCATGTGGAGCCTTCCACGGGGCTTCATTAGGAATCTAAGAACATATAAGGACAGTATTCACTCAATAAGCAGACTTTACTTTGAGTATGATTGTTCTTTATCAGGAATATAAAAGTGGCATAAAGAAGAGACTAGAAAGCGTGGGCCAGAAATTATACCTTTCAAGTTTTATGCCAATAATTGTAATAAAAACATTTAATTTCAGTTTTAAAATTGTGAGGAGTCCATATTAGGACAACCACACTGTGATTTAGGAGTCCATATTAGGAACATTTTAATTGCTTTTGTGATCTGTATATGTACTCATTTTTATTTTTATGCTTAAGCAAATAAAGTGTTCCTTATTGTTTAGAAAAAGAAGCCTAACAGAAAAGAGTCAACCTTAAAAACTGAGTAACAGGCAATTCATTCAGGGGAACTAATTCCATATCATTCATAACATTAATTCATCATATAAGTTTCAAGCTCATATGAACTGCAGAATTATGTGGTAAGTAGGTCATTGGCAATGTACATAAGAATTCTGCCTATGAAATTTTAACTAGGAATAGCTGGCTTGACAACAGATAAAAACTTCAGACACTAGCACATTGTCTAGTGCAGTGCCAGAGACCAGTGCAATCCTATAACTCTGTATCAGCAATCAGCAACCTTTTAAGGCTGATTATTGGATTGACCCAATTTGGGCCACAGGCAGCCCGCTTGTGGGTGGGTGGGTACACAGGTGGGCACTAGGACCCAGCCATCACTGCTGTCTTCCCACACTGCTGGCATAGGAAAAACACCTTCTGCCAATGATTTACCCCAATTTTGCCACCACTGCAAAGGAAAAGTGCATCCGCTGCCACTTTTCTCTACACATGCCACTACAGCTTTTCCCTACACTGGCATGGGCAAGGTACCCACTACTGCTGCTTTCCCCTGCAACTGCCACTGCTATTTCTCTCCATGCCAGCATAGGCAAAGTGACAGCTGCTAAAGGCCCCCACCACACCCAGTACCACCAAAACCCCATATCTGTGAGCTGGATCAAAACCACAGGCCATAGGCTGCCCTTGTTCTATACATATACACAGAACAGACAAAGACCAAGTGCCTTGGATATCTGAACTTCCACTTGACATACCTCCTTTCCCATTTCATCCATTGTCCTCCACAGATTGTTATAATCCAAGTAGACAAATGGGTTCCACATAGGCGGGAATGGACCCTTAAATGGATAAGATTTACCCTGAAAGACAAAAGGTTTAAAAATCAGAATACAATGTTAAATTCTATTGGGTCACTTAGAATGAGCAGTAAACTCCTCTGTGCAGGAGCCAGCACTGAAGGATTAAATGGACACCAAAACAAAACTCCCTCTCAATGCTAATTAATGTCTATTTAATTTAATGCCTAAGCCACTGCGGGCATTTAGCAGCATTTCTGGAATCAAAAGTGAATGTCTGTTCACGTGTTTATTGGTTCAGTCTACACTGTTTAGACTAACCTGCAAAGACTGAACTGATTCAGCCTCGGGCTTTTTGACTGTCTGTACGTACATAGCCTTGTGGTTTCAAAACTTGTTTCCATCCTACACAGATAGAAACAAAAGCTTTTCAACTTTTTCACAAAAATGAATTAGTGTTATGTTCTAAAGGCCAGGTTTCTTAAGTGGAGTGGAGTGACCAGTGAATCCAATTTGAACGTCAGAAATCTTCCAATCAAAAAAAAAAAAAAATCAACCAAACCAATCTCTCAACAATCATAGGCCTCCAATAAAATACCACACTTTGATTTTAAAAATATCCTCAAACATGTTCTGACAAGCTCCAGTTACTAAATAAAGCAAATAAACACAATAATGCAAGCCAAATCTTCCTCAAAGTTTAGAAAGTCTGAAGTTTCTAATTTTGATTCCCAGTAGGGTTCACTTTGGATATATCTTTTAATAAGCTACATAGTATTCTGCACCTAGCTACTACAAACAATGGGCTCATCAGAAATGGCTAGAGCAGACAAATCTCTGCAATGGATTCACTATTTCTTTTCAGCATATTACCCTGCCCTATCTTTTTTAATGTCCACTTCAAGCCAATGGAGGGGATTCAAAGATGCCAATATTTAAAATGTCATTATTAGGCAGACAAACACCTTTGTTCTCCTTCATGTCTGATACCACATCACAGACTATCCTGCTGCTTTGAGAGCAGCATCATAGATGAAAAGTAACTGGCTGAAGAAATTCACAAGAATGATACAATGCTGGTTGGAAGAGGGAAACATCTGGAAGATGTAATTTCCATCATCTTGTCTTCCACTGAAGGATTTTACCCTCAGATTTTCAAACTTTTCCATGGCTTAGGAGTGTTTCTCTTTCCTTGTTATAAAAGGGAATTCCTGTTCTCTATTCTCTCTTAGATTTCTGAATTAATGGCCTTTTCAGCATGCTAAAAAAAATACCTGTTCTCCCAGACTTTGGGGAGGTAAAAGTAAGAGAACAGATAGTGTTTTGAATAAGTGGTGATTTCCTGTTATTTCCCTTGGTTAGTTGTGTTGAACATCAGGGTTGCAACAAAACCACAGTACTTTTGTATATTTGGGCTGTGTTATAAATATTTTGTTGAGGGCACCTGGAAACAATGATAAGCAGTTATGCTTTATAGAAAATTAAATAAATGGTAAATAAAGAAAGAAAAAAAAAATCAGATTGAGTGGCTCGTGGCAGACAAGTCTCATTATAATTTTGAGAAGTGACCTACATGTCAGTCAAACTGCATAAAAAAGAACAAACACTAATTAAATATTTTTCAATATTAGACAGTCTTTAAAGGAAAATAGAGCATTTGACATGATACTAGGCCAAATAAGCATTTGATATTGTACTAAGTAGGATAAAGTTCTCTTAATTCTCACGCTCAGGATATTAAATTGTAGTCAGAAAAGAGATCTACAGCAATGCACCGTTTTGATGATGTACTGTGGTGAACTTATGTTTTTCTCTGAAATAGATGACATTTTCCAGTGTCATACAAAAGACAGACCTTTGCTTTATGCTAGCATGACACTTCTTAAAGCAGGGGCTTGCAAAATTCAGCCTGTGGGCAAGATCAAGCCCACCAGGCAATTTCATCCAGCCCTCAGACGCCCACCAATTAATTGTACCCCGCCCAGCCCACACCCTTCGCTACCACCCTTGTGCATGGGAGGGCCCCAGCCTGGCCAGCATGCACAGGTACTGGGCAGGGCTGCGGCTGCCACTGCTGCAGCCATCAGGGGACCTGCTGGGCTTCCCCAACCTCCAGCAGCTCCTCCTCGTGTCCCTGCTGCAGCACTCACTTCAAGCAGCAGGTAGGGAAGCTGCAGCTAAGTGGGAGCATGGGGCTGGGTGAAGCATGGAGGCTGCACCCAGTGGGACGGTGGGAGCTCAGAGCTCAGGTAGGCAGGATGTGGGTGTGTGAGGTTTGTGGGGTGTGAGGGAGGGTGGGAAAGTATGGGAACACCCCCACACACACAACTTCTATGCCCCCACCACCAGTGACAGCCGCAGCAGGCAGAGGGCCCTCAGGGCGCTCATGGCCTGCACACGTGCAGTAGCCTGCAGCTCCAGCCAGTTCCAGGAGCTGCACGTGGAAGCAAGAAGCAGAGCCAAGTTGGCCTGCCTCTTGTGCAGGACTGATGGGCAGCTCCCAGGACTCATTTACCACCAGGGGGAAGCCCTGCACGATGGAGCTGGCTGCCTTCCCTGCTCACATGTGCAGCTCCCAGGACTCCGCTGCATCTGGGGGTAGAGAGAGGGGAAGGCAGCCAGCTCCATCGCACAAGGCTTTTTCCCAGGGGCACGTGAGTCCTGGGACTTGCACGTGAGCCCCACACCATAGAAGTGGACTGGCTCTACTCCTTGCCGCCATGCACAGCTCCTGGAACTGGTTGGAGCCACACACTGCTAGGTGGCAGTGCCTATGCAGACCATGAGTGTCCCAAGGGCCCATCACCTGCTGCTGCTGTGGCAGCGACATATGGGGGACACATGGGGATTCCCCACAACCCCCCAAACCTCACACCCTGCCCACTCACCCCCAAATATACACACACACTGCTTTGTGGGG